CCCCTTCACTTACTTCTTCCCCCCCCTTCACTTACTTCTCCCCCCCCCCCTCCTCACCTCTCCCTTGCCCTCCCCTGTAGCGTGGCCGAGCTGCTTGCTGGTCCGCGGTGCCGGCCGGACTGATAGGAAAGGTGCACACTGAGTGTGCACTTCCTGTCAGTCCGGCCAGTTCCAGAAACTCATGGAGTTTCTGTTTCCTGTAACCGGCCGGACTGACAGGAAGTGCACACTCAGCGTGCCTTTCCTATCAGTCCGGCACCGCGGACCAGCAAGCAGCTCGGCCACGCTACAGGGGAGGGGAGGAGAGGAGCAGCCGCAGCCGCCTGAGGCTCTTACAGAGGCTCAGGCGGCTGCAGCATTTAAAGGGCCGGCCCTGCAGCGGCCGGTCCCAACAGATTTTAGGGCGGCCTGGGGGGCAATTGCCTCCCTGCCCCCCGGCCCAGCCCGCCCCTGGGTGAGGTGTGAAAATTCCTGGATGCAAAGTAGATGAGTGTGGCAGTAACATTAATTATGGACTGTTCAGGGGCAATCTTGTCACTTTTCAGTCCAACAATCAGAGGGTTACAATAATCAAAGCAGGTAACACGGTGCAAGAAGATGGGGAGTAAGAACAGGTGGGCAGATTTGGGTATCATCAGCGTACAGGTGATATTGAAATGACCAATCGGAGACTTGGCATTGATAACCCACTGATTCTCAGCATGGGGCTAGGCAAGGGGGTCCAGGGAGGAAGCTGCAGCTCAGAGAAGGTTGTGACTAGGGCGGCATAATGATGAAGCCAGGTGGCTGGCAGTGAGGGTTCTTAATGTGGCTGCGTCTGCTAGAGTCAAAATGGGACAGTTTATTGCCATTTTTCGAGCAGGTTGTAACAGCCTCCCTCTGTTTTTGTCTTTTGTCTTTGGTTTTATTTTTTTTAAATAAATAGTTCCAACTGCCTTTCCAAAATCTCACCCATCCCCATCGCCAGGTCAGATTGCGTGCATGTGCAACCTTAAGCCTGTGAGTAGCCTGTGATTGCCCCTTGTGATGTCACAAGGAGGAGGGAGTTTTTCCTGGCGCTGGATGTCAGGTTAGTAAAAACGTAATTTTTTAAAAAAATTTAGGGGAAGGAGTGGCCTAATAGCAATGCACGATAAGGCATTGCAAGCCTAAAAAGGTGATTAAATTACAAGTAGGAATATCCACATACATACCTATGCAATTGTCAAATATATATGTTTGTAGATGTATATGCATGTACAGTTCATATGTATAATATGATTATAAATATAGAATATATTTTTAAGATCTCTATGCATGTAATGTCCAGTTAACACATTTATGAAAGTCACTTTTATTTTTTCGGGGGGGGGGGGTTGGTGAGGAGACAGCAATCGTCATGCAAAGCCATCCCTGCTCGCTGTGTGATGGTTTTTACTCTAACAGAGTGATTAGATGACATGATATATAGACAGAGAATACCTCTAGGGGAAAGCTATGAGATTTAGAAAGTAGTTGGAAGCGGTACTATCTGCTGTGAGTTTTGTGTGCCCTGTAAACATCGTTGTGGATTTAAACCCTGTGCTCCTGACATTAAAGTGTATTAATTCCTCACACATCAAGCCTGGTGTTTGTTTGAGACAGAAGGAACGGTATAACTGTTCAACTTGATAACTGCTAATAGATCTACTCACCGAGAAGTACTGATTCCTAGAAGTGTCCAATGGGGGCACAGGTCTGGGGCATCACATTTGTTTAGCCGATTCCACCAATTTCATTCAGCGCAGTTGATAAAATTCCACTGAATCACAGTCAAGAATTAGATATGTATGAGGCAAGATATAAAGACAGAACGAGTATTGCCAAACCGGAAAACAACACGGCTCAGCAAACAAAAAAAAACTCCAGGGAGGTGACAGTAACAGGACAATCTATAAGCAGATTGTATCATAATGACCAGGAACCGGGAACAATCGGTAAACAGACCAAGGCCAAAATCAACATTAAGCTTACACAATATTTACTCTCCCCTGAATATTTCATCACAATGTCATCTGAGTATTCATGGTTTGTTCTCTAAATCGTCCATGCACAAACTCACATTACATACAGGAATTTTGTGGGGAGGAGGAGGGAAGTATTTATGTATAAAGAATTTACATTGTGCTATATGAGTGCTATATGACTAAGAAATTAAAAAAAATAACAAATGAAACTTAATACAACCTACACTAACTAAGTGCAGTTGAAGGTTTTGGCACTATATTAATGCTGTATTTTTTTTTCCAGATTTAAATCTTTTTAGTTTTGCTAAAAAAAAACAACAACAGGCTTTTAGCTTTCTCCAGCATAATCTGCTTCTTGGCCATGACTCCTTTTATTAAAGGCAACGTCCTTATCAAACATGTACTGCGCATGTACTCAGCTCACTAAGATATCACCAAACATGCGAAACCAATAAATAAAGCACACATAAATATATAAAAAGCCAAAGTAGAATAGATAAATAAGTAAATAAATACAAACCTGTCAAATTTAGTCCTCCCACGTTAGATGTAAAAGTCCCAAGCCTCTTAATAGAGATGGGCAGTTAAAGGACACTGTAGCCGAATGTGTCTAAATGCTACAACATACATATAAATAGCAATAATAAAAACGCAGCTTGCTAGTTAATATAGTACTCAGTATATGAAATGTACCATTCTAGTACATATAACCCAGAAACAGGAGAAATCCACTTTACAGGGAGTGCAGAATTATTAGGCAAATGAGTATTTTGACCACATCATCCTCTTTATGCATGTTGTCTTACTCCAAGCTGTATAGGCTCGAAAGCCTACTACCAATTAAGCATATTAGGTGATGTGCATCTCTGTAATGAGAAGGGGTGTGGTCTAATGACATCAACACCCTATATCAGGTGTGCATAATTATTAGGCAACTTCCTTTCCTTTGGCAAAATGGGTCAAAAGAAGGACTTGACAGGCTCAGAAAAGTCAAAAATAGTGAGATATCTTGCAGAGGGATGCAGCACTCTTAAAATTGCAAAGCTTCTGAAGCGTGATCATCGAACAATCAAGTGTTTCATTCAAAATAGTCAACAGGGTCGCAAGAAGCGTGTGGAAAAACCAAGGCGCAAAATAACTGCCCATGAACTGAGAAAAGTCAAGCGTGCAGCTGCCACGATGCCACTTGCCACCAGTTTGGCCATATTTCAGAGCTGCAACATCACTGGAGTGCCCAAAAGCACAAGGTGTGCAATACTCAGAGACATGGCCAAGGTAAGAAAGGCTGAAAGACGACCACCACTGAACAAGACACACAAGCTGAAACGTCAAGACTGGGCCAAGAAATATCTCAAGACTGATTTTTCTAAGGTTTTATGGACTGATGAAATGAGAGTGAGTCTTGATGGGCCAGATGGATGGGCCCGTGGCTGGATTGGTAAAGGGCAGAGAGCTCCAGTCCGACTCAGACGCCAGCAAGGTGGAGGTGGAGTACTGGTTTGGGCTGGTATCATCAAAGATGAGCTTGTGGGGCCTTTTCGGGTTGAGGATGGAGTCAAGCTCAACTCCCAGTCCTACTGCCAGTTCCTGGAAGACACCTTCTTCAAGCAGTGGTACAGGAAGAAGTCTGCATCCTTCAAGAAAAACATGATTTTCATGCAGGACAATGCTCCATCACACGCGTCCAAGTACTCCACAGCGTGGCTGGCAAGAAAGGGTATAAAAGAAGAAAATCTAATGACATGGCCTCCTTGTTCACCTGATCTGAACCCCATTGAGAACCTGTGGTCCATCATCAAATGTGAGATTTACAAGGAGGGAAAACAGTACACCTCTCTGAACAGTGTCTGGGAGGCTGTGGTTGCTGCTGCACGCAATGTTGATGGTGAACAGATCAAAACACTGACAGAATCCATGGATGGCAGGCTTTTGAGTGTCCTTGCAAAGAAAGGTGGCTATATTGGTCACTGATTTGTTTTTGTTTTGTTTTTGAATGTC